ATTTCAATGAGTAATAAGCGGAATGCAGACGGGAAGGAGCCTATATAACAACTCGGATTTTTCTCATCGGTAATTATTTCGTAGCCAATTTATTACATTGCCGTTATGCGAAGGAGACGGTCTCGGTGGCACCAGAGCAGTGGAATTTCACGTCGGCTGGTTAGTCGATTTTCCGTAGAGAAATAGAGATCATGGTAGCGATTCAAGTTGAGAGCAAAGCGGAGTAACCCAACAATAAAATTTGTGCTCTCTGTAATAGACTGCGCTAATTATAGACGTAAAGAAAGTATAGGGAATAAAATAATTGGGAGCGTGTGATTTAATAAAAAACTACAGAGCTGGAACTAACAAAAATTAAGAAATTTGTTGATTCCTAACAATTTTCTATTGCTTTTTTTCTCTTTGTTATTTCAGAAGGAAAATGGGTTTCAAAATCAGTCAAATGCTCTCAAAAGAGGGTGGAGAGATAAATGAATTATTCAAACAGAGAGTTTTAATCCCATTTTCCGTTTCTGTCCGTTATGTTGCGTGGATGTATGGGGCCGGACAGGCTTAGCTAACAATTATTAAACGGCGAACGAAATCATGACTCTACGTGCGGCTTCTTTGCAGCTAATCTCACAGTTAGTGGCAACAGAAATAGGATCTCAGTACTCATACATGGCTTTTCCAACTTTGGCGCATTTGATTTTTTCTGAATCAAACACTACCAGATTTCTTCCATTCCAAATTCTGAATATATACACAGAATTAATCTCTCTAGTTTGATCAGCGTTTATGATGCTAGCAGCGGCAACGCCTTCAGGGGCGTTGCTATGGCCGATGGCTGTTTCAACGTTGGGTATTAACAATATAAAACTGATCGTAAATTAGGCATTTGTTCATCTGGATAATTTGATTGTTATTACGTCAAAGATACGATTTAGTGCAAATTTTAAATTAATTGTGAATTCTTATGTGCAATTATGTCATTCATGTTCGATACGACATGCCTAGGGTTGTGAAATTGACCGGTTAAATTGTTTTGTGTCAATTGACTGGTCAGTTGACCGAACTAATTTTAAAAATACTATGCAATTTATATTTATTTATATTCTGCGTTAGTTAGGTTAGTCGCCGTTGCGTCGTACTGGGAACCAAATACAGCCGATATTATTATTGGCATACTCCGAATTGCTAAGTATCGTGTTCGGATATTTCCTGAAGAGGGTTATAGGTAAATCGGACATCATAAACGCGTAATAATTTATTATTAAATACATATTATTATTATATAATGATCAATTACAAAGTGGTCAATTGACCAGTCCCAACACTAGATATCCCTTTTAAAGACAAACTGAGACTTGATTTAAAATGGAGGATCAACTTGTATGAATGTATTGTTATTTTGAAGCAAAAATTGTAAGTTTTTTTAATTTAATATTAGAGAGATTAAAAATAATGTAGTAAAAAAGACTTTTTTTAATTAACTACTTTCCTGAATTCAGCTTATAAGTTTCTATGTACTGATTATTTGGTAAACATCCAGATTCTGGTAAAAAATTGCCTCCTAGTTGGTTAAAAAAGAAAAATATTGGTAATGTGTCTGAAAATTTAAAAAAATATTTCATATTTTTTCTCTGTTTTCTTCTTTATACATGTTATTTAACAGAAAGGAATTACATATTTTATCACAAAAAGAAATTGAAAAACTTCAAAAGTACAAAATTCACTAAAATTTCCGAAGTAGCTCCATAATTCGCAAAAATAAAATAAATTTCTTCATTGAAATAAAACTGTAAATTGCATATTTTTTCTTACTACTTTCTATTTTATATGAAAATTATATATTTTTGTTTATTTTATGCGATGCAAAAAATGTTGCCTACATTGAATGAAGTATATTTCAAAACCTTTCTAATTTCAAAAACATTGCAGGCAATATTCTCTGAAATATTTGGTTGCGGCGAGATTTTAGACTAACCCTGTGTAACGCATCCCTCAAACTACTATTTACAAATGTTCTGGATTCCTCTTGCATCGGTTTTTGATAAATCGACCTTGCTGACGTTTCGCCAATCATCCTCTTGGCTTCTTCAGAGCTAGACTGAAACTGCAGCCAGACAGGCGGAATCCAGAAGATTTGTAAATAGTGTTACAGTAGCCTAGGGCAGTTTCTTAATTCATAACAACATTCTTGCAAAAAGGCGTTGCTAGCTATAACATAACCTTTCTACTCCTCCTGTATAATCAGCATTATCTTCACCACCGCCAGACCACTTCGGAAGTAAAGCCGTTTTCGTGTTTCCAGTTTGCCAAGTTTGGTGAATATTATAAAAATTTGAATACATAAAAATTATAAACCATTAAAACAAAATGTTACGTTGTTCAGTAATCATGAATTTGGGGTAGATTTTTAATTTGCACATTCATAATTTTGCGTTCTTTTCCTGTTTTTTTTTCCGGAAGAAACTACGCGCTTCACAATCAATGTTGTCGCGTGTATTTCACTATGCATGAATTTGAATGAGGTAGATTTTATATTGGCAAATTCTTGTTTGATTTATTTGTTTAATTAATTTCTACGATCTCTAGTATTTCGGAAAAATATCTGCAAAGGTTTGGTATAAAAGGCTTCTCGGAAGTAGAGGTTATTAACATAATTTTGTCCACCAACACTATAAAGGGCTCCAGATTTACGTTTGGCATGAAAATAGCAAATTTCATTAAAAAAAAATAGGTTTTATTATTAATGTTAAGAAATATACAAGCATAATTATTTTAATGACCGTAAATATAAAGCAACTGATTCAGTGGAGTTCGTCTAATAACGCTTACGCATAAACATGTTAAAAAAAAATTCCCTGGTCTCTAAATCAAATTGCAAGAAATAATTTTTCTAGAATTTCTCTATTCACAGAACAAACAAAATTTAAGAATTGAATTTTTTAATGCAAAAAAAATGACAGGTCACACATACTTCATTTCTTCAAATAGGTAAATACCATTTGCTTGTCATTTGTGTCAAGGTCTGAATAAATATCCTTTTGTGTTTTTCCTGAAACCTTCCTGAAAAACTTGCGTGGGTTGTGAAAAGATGAGTTATCTTTTTTTAAGATAAAATTAGAACAACTTTTATTTTATGTTCTTTGCCCTCCTTTTTAAAAGTGTTTTCTTTAAAGTTGTTCTGAAGGCATCTTACAGAAAGCCAGTTGTTTTTTTTTGTAGCCCTGAGTATGGGACTAAAATCTAAGGCGAAGCATTCCCCTGTTGATTTGTTGAAATAAAAATCTGTCCAAGCAAGCTGAAAATTTTGTTTTTCAAATAAATATATTTTTCTACTCCATATTCTAAAATATCCAATTACGCACGGGTCAAGCGTGCCGAAAGTGACGTATTAAGACTTCAGCTTAGTTACCCACCATCACCTCGAAAGTATTCGCTATTTTAGTCACGGATTTGGGATGTTTTCGGTTGTCTGTAGTTGTTATTTTGATAAACCTCGTTAGTCACTGTTCTGTTGAGCACTCGCTCCATTTATGTTTAATCGAACCCGGGACTAAAATGGGATTTATCAAACTTGTTTCTTAATATCATATTAGCAACTTATTTACTTTATAAATACTATATAAATACCATTTATCTTCTACATAAAAAAATTTTTGTGTAATTATTAGTTCCTTGCAAACTTGAAAGGCAATGGGGAAAAATGTGTTGTGTGTGTAGATGAAAAAAAATAATAACACAAATCTGAAATTTATATAGTATTAAAAACTATATACCGATTTATTTGTCTAAGACCCGCTTGGGAATTACCAACAAAGAAAATGTTCGACTTAAATTTTGCAACGCTGGAATACCAGAACCGTGAAGCACACAGGACCTGTTCAGTCTTGTAGAAAATTCTTTCGATATTTCCTTAAGCGCGCGATCGAAATTCTTGCATATCCAATTTCTGCAATAATGAGATGTTGGAAACTAACTTTTTTGATTCATAGGTAGTTGTCGAAACGCGATTTACATTTTCCGTTGAATGGCGCTACCACCATTCTCAAGGTTACGGTAATTGCGGTGTTAAATTAAATCTGATCTGGAAGCTTGATTTTTAATTATTATAAGTGACCATGTTCTTATTAATTGAAGGTCCTTGTTTGGTTATGTTCGTTGTTTAGATACTGCCAAATCTACTTCTTTAGGTATATGCCTTGGAATTATTATTATGACCCCAATCTGCATCACAATACAATAAGATATAGAGATAAATGTATAATTACGTAAATTTTTATTATACATTTAATTAATCCTGCTAAATAGATATCTACAGCCCCAGCGAAAGTTTTCTACATAAAAAATATTGTTGTTTAATTCGATTTATAACATTACTGCCGTGGATTAATTTTATTATTATTAAAATAGGTTTGAGATAGCTACCGGTACTCTCGTGATAAATTGGTAAATGGATATTTTTGCCAGTCTACGATAAAGTTTAAATTACCAAAATTGTACTATTTTTCCTAAATCTAAAAAAAATACAAAATACAGAAATTAAAATAAAATATTTCAATAATTTATATTTATATACATTAATTCTGTTTTTACATTTTTTTCAGTAAACTTGAGCTCGTCCCACTGTTGATGGATCCTGAGATGTTGCTATTAGGAATTAGGTAAGCATGGGCAGGTGTTATGACAACTTTAGGAATTTAAGGCAAAGATTTTGTTGCATCTTTCTGTCACCCTTATGGCGTTGCTTTTTGCATATTTTAAATTGAAGTTTAAAAAACATAACATCTCGAATCGTAAAGAGAATTAGAAAATAACGCTTTGTTCACGAACAATTGGAATTTATTGGTTGGTTAAGCAAGATTCCGTAGATATATTTAAAGCTAATAAACGACTTTTATAAAAACACTCAGTTAGCTAAGAGAAAATTTTCGTGTCATGTACCAATTATGCCCCCATTACATTCCTCTCGACATTCTTCGCAACCGCAACAGTTCGGCCATTTCTCTACTTACTTGATTGACTTCGGTCAACGACGTACAATTGTTGTTCATAATATTGTTAATTTCGTTATTCTTCGGCGTGGTCAACGAATTATTGCTCGGCGTTGGACTAACTTGCTGGATATTAACACTTTCCTTGGAACTTTTGTTGTGCGGCGAAATCCTAGCGGGGAAACTTAACGTTTTCGTCCACTGTGCTAAACTGCGTACCATTTTAAAATAAAAAGTATATTTTTAAAATGCAATTACTGTTCATATACGGTAAAACTTAAAGTACGACTCAGCGAAGATCTACCGCACATCCCAACGGTCGAGTTAAACTGTTTCAAAGTGTTCCCTGGTCGTCCTTTCGGATGGCCTTTCCCCCTCCACTTTGACGGGTTCCCATTCAGTAACAGCTGTTTGTGATTCCAAGTGTCGTGAAGTAACCGACACACTTGGTATTAGGAAAGGGAGGGGGGGATACTAGGTAAAAAATAAGAATCTTCCCGCACTGTTCGCTTCCTTCCAGTTTCGTTATCGGTTGAAAACATTAATTGAATTAAATTAATTAATTATTTAATTTAGAAAGTCCAATAATCGATTCACGTACACGAAATTTGATTTGTTTTCAGTTAACATTAAAAGCAAAAAAAGGACTGGTTCACAAAATAATTAAAAATATACAGTTGACAGGTCCTTGCTTGGCGCACATGCGCATAACTTATTTCGAGTCAAGAATAAAAGATTAAAAATTGACTAACAACAAATTTTGAACAAGTTTATGATTGCCAAACTAGTGACACCCAGGTCTAAAATTCCAAGATTTCAAACTGCCTGTTCGAACAGTACATATTTTAAAGTTTAGCACGCGATGTTACGTTTAGTTTTTCATTTTTTTAAATCGTGTTGGCCGTTCGGAAATATCAAATATTAATAATAATAAATATAAATTCCGTTATATTAAAATGTAGCACAGCATCTAAGTACTGTTCATTTTTTGACCATACATGAGAAAGACAATTAAAATATATCAACGGGAGTATTTCAAATCGTTAATTTTCCTATTACTTCCACAATAATATTTTAAAAACTGCGAGGAAAGTTTGACAATAATATCAAAATTCAAAAACTTGTCTACCAACAGCGTACTCAGAAATCTTCGTACTAAAGCGGATATTCTAGATTAGCTAGGGAACTGACGAAGATTGGGTAAATTTGTCCACTTAACTTCAGTAAAATAGAAACGACATAATTAATAGTAATCAATAGTATAAACGTTTTTTTGTTTATATTAAACATTTTAGGATACCTATTTTAAAAATTTAAGTAAACCATGAATTTTACCTATTCTGTAAATTCATTTGGAAATTTTCTTGTTGGAATAACCCATTTTTCTTTAAAAGCTTCTGTATATGTGAAAATTTATGGTTCTTTCTAAAATTCCTTGATAAAATTAAAAAAAATTATCAATTTCACAAGACAAGACAAGTTAAAAGGATTTCTTTGCCTTTTCACCACTTATTTCACCCGGTACAATATCAACAATGTGTTATTTTTGGTGTTTTGACTGATTCTTATTAAAAAACTTGTCTAAACTTTTCTTCATCAAACCGAGATCTAACTCTTGCAGTTTATGAAATTCTCAATTATAAATGTTAAAGTTTTATCGTTAAGCCTTCAAGTTAACCACACCATAAGGTTGAATACAAAATATTCTTCTTATTTATTGAACATAAAAGTTAAAACCTATTATAATTAAGCTCATTTAATGTATGTATAAAAAATGTATAAAAAATGCGGCGCGAGAGTCTATTGTGATGAAATTATAGAACAATGGGGCAAGTTGTACAGTTATGTTTGCTTTTCAAGGCACAGCTATATTGGTATATTCGTGCTACAGTTACTGTTAAATATTTTTAGTGTATCATTTAGATAGTGGACCGTTTTAAAAATTATCGCTATTCTCTATTTGGATTCACTTTTGGCCATTAAGTAGTAAAAATGTAATATATGTATATACATTTATCGCGCATAATAATAATAGGTTGTAACTGGAAAATCGTTAAAATCTTTTGTGTGCTTTATTGCTCATGAACTGGAGTCGAATCGTTTCGTTATCTCCAGTTGAGACAAATATAATAGACTTGACTATTTACCCTACTGCTGGGGTAATCACGTAATGACGACGGATTAAATATTGTTGATTTTTAGTTGGGCACCATCGATAAGTTACTTACTAACAAGAAGTAATAGTTGTTGATTTTTGTTTTATTTACTTAAATACTATGTTTTTTTTTTAAATTCAGCTTAATATTTTCAGTTTTTGTCACACTATATTGTTGGTTAGTACCAATCGGAATTATTATTATGCTATGCATTCTAATTCCCTAACTTAAATTTTAAGAAAGTTGTTAATAATAATTGATAAGGAAGTAGCCGAAATAAATTCTGAGAATTTTCACAGTTTATATAGTCAAAGGGCTTTATTATCTATTTTTCTTCCTTCTGCCTAGAAATTTACTCCTAACAAAATGATTTATTAAAGTGTATTCCGAGCATTTGTGAAAATTGCTGGATTTCGACTTGTACAAACTTTTATTTTTAATATGCCGCACTCCAAATATTGTATTAAGATAAAAAATTATGGGACAGGAGACGCTAAGGAAGAGACGACTTCTGAAAATAGGTAATTTATTTTATCTTAGGTGACGTAAACGATTGGTATGCTTTGCAAGGACCGAAACCAATTTGCTTCTGACTCATTTTCGGTAAATTTTGCTTTAAGTGTCACAATAGGGCGATTCGCAACGAAGTTGGACAAGGCAACGATGAGGGTGGTCATTTTTGACCCAGTCGACATGTTTATAACTTACGCTTCACTAGGGTTGATACTCTTCAAAGAAATTTAATTTTTTAAGGTGAAGAAATAGATGGCGCAAGTAAGGACTCTCACGAACTATACAAGCGTCTAGGTCATGCCTATGTCCATACCCCTAATATAAATTTCACAAAATTTATAAAAAATTATGAAACATAAAAGTAGTCAAAATAATTAAACGAACAACATAATGATGCTACTGGAATAATTTGTACTCGTTCCTTGAAACCGATGAAATCTGCGCTTACTTGAGATCTTAGTAACGGTTGGTCGTCGTCGGTACTGATCGCGTCAAAAAAAACATCTAAATTTGTTTGTTCTCTGGTCTCTGTTATCTGTTCTCTATAACGGACCTCCGGGAAGCATTTGAAGGCTTATAACGTTCGAACGGTTGGAACTACCGGCTTCAAATTTTCTTCTTTGCTAATACTAGTTATCAATCGAGACTTTTGCGGTAAGGATTCGAAACCGATTCGGGACCATTCGCATGCGCAGTTGAGATGAAGTTGTTCTCAGATCAGAAAATTCCGAATTTTCAGTTCCAATCCCGCGGATAAACTAATTCGATTCAAAATCGGTTCAGAATTTTTCTAATGATCCGGGATTTTTTTAATAAGTTTGAGTGAGTGAGGGATGAAAATCTGATGAAATTTAAGGAATAAGTGTCCTAAGTCCTAAAAATGTTTTGAATACTGTTATTTCTTCAAATAATCTTTTCATATTTTTAATTCTAAGGGACCCCACCCCAGTCCCAGTTAGGAATCCTTGGAGCGGACGTTTTATGTAGTTTAAGTATCGGCTTTGTTTCTTTTCTTCCGTCAGAGACATTGCGCAACAGGAATATACAGGTTGTAAAAGCGTTCAGTAATGCGAGTTGTGTGGTGGTTTAAATTACTAACCTAAAGTCTACCACAGTCTTGGGAGTTAACTTTTCTTTTTTCTATTTGTTTTGCTTCTCGTTCGTAAAAATTCATGGCAAATTACATTTTTCTGAATTTGTGTATATTGAGAGCGATTTTATGCATGCAAAAATCGGTATTGTGTATTTAACACTTGATTCTTTATTGTACCAATAAAATTTCGAATTTCGAATCTTAATTTGTGCTGAAATAATCACTTGTCTTTAGTGAATTTGTTTATCAATCATTTGTTATTAAATTTAGTTGATTGTAAATGCGGGCAGCAATTTAGTTTGTGTGTTTTTTATTTCCAAATTGAATTTTAGAAATTTGTGCAGTTGTAAGCTGAGAATAAAGGTTGTCTTTTTCCTTTAATATATACTAATATATTACAACGCAAAATACTTTGATTTTAGTGTATATGCTGCTTGTAGATTACATTAGAAAGTGGTTGAATAATTCTCATCAGAACTTTAATGCTCTATACTATCTCTCTCCAAATAGAAAACTGAATTGTGTTGTGGAATATTTGGTAAAAACGAAAACAAATCCCTAAACCAAGAGAATATTTGCTAGTTGCTGCAAGTATACTGATGGAAAAAAAATCCGCAAAAAAGAGAAAGAAAAAAGTTTCCTTGAGGAAAAGTATGCTACAAAGATTTGTACTAAGCACATATTTTCCCTACTATTACACGATTTTTAGACGCTTCAATATTTTTTGTACGAAATATTACTCAAAAAAAAAAGATTTGTCAAGAATTAATCATATTCCTATGGTATTATATTCCTTTTGCAGACAAGCTTTCCGACTGAATTAATCACAAATTGAATGGAAATATGCCTCTAGGCGAATTTCAGTTAGGATAAATCAAGAAACTTATACCACTACCGCACCTACTTTAACGGTTGCAAAATACCAATGGTTTGTCGTAATATGGTGAGGCAGTGGATGCGGTGAGGTATTTTTGGATAGTATAATTGTGTTATGAAGGTTGAAATTTTAGCAATTTTTAGCAATAAACGAATGAAATAAAATTATAAAATATGAACTTAATTTTAGTGAACAACATAAACTAGTCACTTTTTTAAAATTTCAGAATTTCGTTAAATTTAACTCAGATTTTCCTAGGTTTTTAAATTAAAATCGAATTAAAGTAAATAAAAAAATGGTGAAATTAATTGAATTTAAAATTGGTAGAGACATCTATCCGATACAGTAAACATACTCTTTTAGATCAACTTAACCAAACAAAGCCATTATTGAGTTTTAAACATCAGATTGATAGCAATATCGAACAACAGCTCACTGAGAAAAAGCGAAAAAGAAAAACAATAACAGAAAACGGACTCGTGTATAGCGGCCAATGCCATCGTGAGAGTATGACGTTTGGCTCAAAGAATCTCTCCGCTTACATGTAGTCTATTTAACATAACACGGGCTAC